AAAAAAAAAAAAAGCGAACCATTAATAAGCATGGAATCTTTATAAGGTTTCATCGGTCTATTTTTATCCATCTGTTTTCCTCTTTGAAGACTTCGCCGGTAAATAGATACATCTATTTGCATGTGTATGTAAATAGATGGTGAAATTGGGTAAATATACATACAAAACACAAAAGGTTTGTTGCACTGACACTTGTGCCATTTAAAAGGTTAAAACAAACTAAAAGAACACTAAATTAGGGTGGGAAGCAAAATAAATTTTACAGAAATGCAAGATAATACATATTATTCATCTGTCACATATACATATAGTCTACAGACGTTTTATGAGATTATATAGTACCAAATTACGAAACAAATGATAAAACCATCTAAAAATAAACAAAGTCGAAATTCAAAGTCTACCTCCATACTTAAATCCATGAAAAAGAGTGATAATACCTCATAATATAAAAAAATGAAAATTTTGTTAAAAAAAAGTATATCAACATATCTCACCATGCCAAAGCGAAGCATCATGTAGTCGGAAACATTGTTCACTGGGACCCCACCTCCCAACATATTCCTCGAAACACAACCTTAACCGGCAGGTTGAGGTTTTTCGTAATGATCCCCAGTCCGAGAAGGCTCACGCTGTCTGCCACCATATGAAGAGGGTTGGACGCCTGTTGGGTTGCAACCGACACCATCACATTCTCCCTGAAAAACCTCTCGGATAAAAAAACCATAATATATCGTATGAAAACAGACAAAAAAGTAGCATGTCTCAGAAAAGCCACGCAGAAGGAAATACTCATCAAATTGTTCAATATCCAATGACCTGTATGAAAAGACCAATCTAATGCACAGAACAAGTAAAGGGGATTCGGTCAGAGGCAAAAGTACAGAGCTGATGTCGAAGCAACTGTCGTGAAGGCTTTGAGGAGTTTAAAGACGGAAGGGAATAAGCAGAATATGAGAATCAAGCTGAAAGAGCTCCTAATGGGAATCATTAGTGATTGCGGCATGGGCTCGGGTGAGTGACAATAGTTGGCATGTGAACGAAAAAAAATGAAAGACATACGTCGAAACGTAGAAAGTTACATATATAATTTGCATGGAACAACTTATGAATTTTTATTTAGCTCAAAAATGCATGCTTTACATCGAGTGGCAATTAGCTTTTCAGGCCTCGACTAATTTACTTTCCCACGATCCCTGTTAACATTTCGAGTCAGCATTCGAGCCTTAGTTATAGCTGCAAATGAGAATGAGAAATGAAGAGGAAACTGAAACGTAACTTCATAGGAAAAAAAAAGTGTTGCAAAAAATTTAAAGAGTTGAACATATTTACATGAGGAAAATTATGGGAAAAGCCGGCAAAGCAAATCCCTAAAACGAACGGGTCGGTTAAACTGCCAAAAACACTTGTGTATCACAATACAAATTTGAAGAAAAAGCAAACGATGAAAAGAAAAAAAGGGCTTTTTAAACTCACAGGAAACCAAACAAGTTCTTTTCTTGCAAAGGCTATGTAAGTTCATGAGACTTGAGTTTCTCCTCGACCTTGTCTTAAACCCTTTTCATTAAACCTTTATAACGAGATATAAGAAATACCTTAAGATTTTGAATAATTTAAATGTCCTAAAAATCGATTAAGGCAATTTATTCTCATTTCCCATATAAGAATTTAAATTGAGTGCAAAAAATAAAACATAATAAAATACTTACATTATGATGGTATGTGACAAAATACTTTTATTAAGTAGAAATAGTTGAAACGTAACAAACTAAAAATAGTCGGATATAGTAATACGTAACCCACCTGAAAATATGGATGAACAAGTTCTAAAACTCAAATGATATGTAGAGACAATGCATTCTTAGACGATTTTGTTTGCACGTGCGGTTACACACTACTGGCAATAACTGTCCACTTTTCCTAAAAAATCGATGCCCATTTTTACAAACATCACAAGGATTAATAGAAACGGCAAATTTCAAATTCATAAGTAGCATATAACGCAAAAAGTTGATCAACTAAAACACTTGTATCTATCAAGCAAATTAAAGGGATCTTCTATAACTTAAACAATAAATTATGAAGGATGTCCCAGACATTTTTCTGACTTTCCGAAGAGAAAAATTATAGAACACGAATAATTAGCTCATTTATCCCTTGGTCAATCCAAATCCAACCACAATTGTCAATAAATAATAAATAAATGTCATATTGGACAGTTTATCTACAAGTTCACTAATTAAAAAATAGGAAAAAAATACGTTCAACTGGATCACAAACAAGTCCCTAATGAAACAATAATTGCATTTTAGGCCCTGAGCATCTTTTGGAGAGATAAAAATTAAAATTGCAGGGGCAAACATTATGATTAAAAGTGACTTTTGGGATTAAAATTTACAAACCGTCGGCTCAAAAAACATGATTACCTTGCTTTCTTCTTCTAGGAATTCTTGGACAGGTATATATGCTGCAGCAACACAGAGGTTCTGGAGAAGAGAAGAAAAGATTGAAGCAAAGCAAAATTTTCAAACATGATTAATTAGAGTTATCATTGTTGAAGACGCCAAACAGTATCAGAACTTTCCGGAACAGTACCTTCAAATCGCTCCCTGAATAACTCTCGGTGGCCTTTGCCAGTTGTTCATACGAGAATCCGTTTTCCAGCTCCTCTTTTGCAAGAATCACCTTCAGTATCTTCAGCCGGACTTCCACGTCTGGTAAGTCCACATATATCCTAGTAGCAAAACCAACAAATAAAAATTAAATAAAAAAAAAACATCAGACTTTATTTTATATATATATATATGTTTTATACCTTCTGGGCATTCGGCGAATAACAGCATCATCTAGATCAAACGGTCTATTTGTAGCACCAATAACAAGGATTCTCTCATTGTCTTTTGACGTTAAACCATCCCAACATGCCATAAATTCATTCCTCAGCCTTCGGGTAGCTTCGTGCTCGCTATTTCCACCACGGGCACCGAGTAAAGCATCGACCTGCAAGCCACATTCTTCGCATAATATAACTAACTGGTTTTGTAGCAATATTGGCATTTCAATCCTAGTGGCTCAAGTCAAATTTAATCACAGTTAAAACAGCCATATATAGAGCCATATCCACACAAGTAGGACTCACCTCATCAACAAATATAATTACTGGGGCCAACTTGCGGGCGAACGAGAAAAGCCCCCTTGTAAGATTTTCTTCATCCCCATACCACTGCACAAATATAACATATATAAAATGAATTTACTTAGCTAGCAAATGATCAGCTAAGCAAAAAGCAAAAGCTCTACTGGTTCAAATACTCTTATCGACGGCCATTACTTTGGAAATTTTCACTTACCATAGATGTGAGGGATGAAGGAGTAATATTGATGAAATTAGCCCCTGATTCTGTAGCAAGAGCCTTCGCCATAAGCGTTTTCCCGGTTCCAGGCGGCCCGAAAAGTAGCAACCCTTTGCAAGGCTGAAAGAGAACGTGTTAACACATTTTAAAAAGATCGATAATTTGTTTCTTGGTGCAAACAATCCTTAAGGCTCACTCACCCTAAGCAAATTTCCACGTGAAAAAAGCTCGGGCCTCTTCAGTGGGAGAATGAAGATTTCATTAAGTGCCTTCTTCACATTCTCGAGAGCGCCAACATCATCAAACTTGATGCCAATCTCTTCGGCACTAATTACCGAGGGAACAAAGGTCATCTCATAATCGTCACTCGCTAGATCCTGCCACCACCATAAGATTCCTCTTTTCAGACAAGGACAATACTTAAAGAATGTGCCCATGTAAATGGCAAGAGAAAAAGAGAACCTTGGGAGTCTTTGAAGGCTCCTTCTTCGACTTTGTTTCCAGCTCCTTTAACCTCATCACAGCAAGTTCAACGCTGTAAAATATTCAAAACCGGCTGTTAATCGAGTGTGTTTTGCAATCTTTACCTTTTTTTTTTTCCTTAAACAGTAAAGATTTTACCTTTCTTGGGGCACCTCGTTAAAAGAAGGAAGGTCACATGAGAAGAGGTAATGATTTGTGGCCCAGCCAATAATCTTCTCGGCTTCTGTCCCAAAAAAAAAAATGATAAAAAATGATTATTTGTTCTAAAAGAATATTCTATTTCCAAGTGTGAAGTGTGGCAAAAATAAGTATTCGTACTCTGTTTATTCAGATTCAAACCGTCGGTGTTTACACGATCCACACCATTGCATTTCAGACCGTACTTTTTGAGAACCTGAAACGAGCAACCACACCTTAAAAGAATAAAATTGAGAATGGAGATAATACTACTAGAAAGAAACTTATTGATTCACCGTACCTTTCGCATTTCACTTAAGTTATTTCGAGACGTCAACATTTTCCAATCTTCGTGTATCTGTTCACAGAATGTTTTCAGGATATTGTCTTCCTGCAATCACGAACGAGAATGTGTATTTTAACATAATTAGTGGTAAATAAAAATGCAAGAATCTTTTTCAAATGAACAAACAACACACTTGAGCTTCTTACAAAATTATGTGATCAAAACTCAAAAGGGCAATTACGTACCGTAGGGACGCTTATAGGCACAACATTAGGGAATATCATCTTTGTTTCTTCCAGCTGAGTATAATTAGTTACCTCTGGCTCGTTTATGAGTTTCTTCAACTGATGAATCGAATACGAAAAGAAAAGGAAGCATCCGTGTATAATTAATTATTGTTATCATCCCAAAGTGAATTGACAAATGAATAAAAAAAAAGTAGAGGAATGTTACAAAATTGGAAAGCAAACAAATTAAGCTACCAAAATAAACAAAATGAAAGTAGAATAAATAGAAAAGTGTGCTTCCGTTAGCTCGATTTGGAGGGATAATTATCCTATGTGCTTCAAACACAAGGAAAATAAAAAACGACAACATTATATGGATCTCTTAAGAAACTCACACTGTTTGCTGATTCTTGAGATCCAACTTCCCACGAGCTTTGTCCGCAAATCAAAACCATTCGCCCCCACAATTGATCCAACATGTCTTTCAACTTGCGGTGAAACTCTTTGCGGATTTTCGAAGAAGCTGTCTTTGGGAACCACCGAAATGGAAATGCATCCGAAAAATATACAATGATCGGTTGCCGAGACTCCAAGATCTTCTTATAGAATTATTACAATAACAGAAGCCCAAATCAGAAAAAAAAAAAAAAAAAAAAAAGGGAAACAACAACAACACTAAGTATTGGATATGTTATTATTGAATAGAAAGACTTGTGTCTACCTCACAAAGCACTTCCATGCCAACATGGCAGTTGTGGATTCGTGCATCGTCATCATGTTCAAAGTCCTTCGCTGCAAAACAAATATGAAACGCAATGAAACGTTAGTTTAGGTTCGAAATCTTGCTACATTTGATAACGACTTAACGATTTTACAGCATGCTTTCTTAATTACCATCAAGCCATTGAACAAATGGTACTTGGATTTTGGCATCCTTTTCTTCTGCTTCCTTTGTTCGAAGCCCGCTTATGTAAAAGAACACGGCAACTTTATCGTCATTCAGTTCGCGCACAATCCCTCGTTGCCCACTACATAAAGTCCTGAAAATATGTTGTGAACAAATGCTTTTCAAGAACATTCTTAAATTAATCCAACATGGAAAAAAAATTATATCAATTGTACACACACACACATACCTGTTATTCTCTTTAATGTAGCTGCTCTGTCCTATATATTTCACTCTGTCTCCTGGCAATAAAAAGAGAAAAAGAAAAAAAAAATGTGAACAGAATTACAAATAACTCTTAATTTATCATCTTGCATACTACCTCAACTTTCCAAATATTACATATAACAATAAGAAATTGGGCCCTCAGCGAAATTAAAACCACATTTAGCAGCAGAATTAGAAGAAATATGTTTTTTTTTTTTTT